CAGTGTACTTTACCGTACATATTTTGTGGGGAATCCCATTCATCACGGAGACACACACAACTCCATACCAAGCAGAGGAAGATTACTATCCTGGGATTTCCTTCTAAACATGCTCCACTTATAGACAAGTTCAGCTTTGTTGTGTATCCTGTTGAACATCTAATGAAGCTTGCAAGCACCACTACATTTAAGGAGGCACAACATTCCATTCCCCGTGGGGGAAGGGTCACCATATTGAGTACTTCCCTCATGGGCATTCCACCATCATATCCATCAACCTCAGTTGTTTATCTCAGCATCTACTGCAGGGGACATGTAGCCACATTGCTCCCAACTCTTCAGTTCATCTTTGATTTTTGTCAGTCATTGCCTGAATACCAGAGACTCAAATAAACATTTTCTTATCCTAGAGAGGAAACCAATGACAGACCAAAATAGCAACAGTCCAACTTGTTGAAATAGTTTTATTGAAGTTTCTTACAGGAGTATGAGTGAGGGCTTCCTTACAGAAGCATGGATAACTGAAAGAGAAGTTGCGTCACTAAAAGCCTACCCCAGCACAGATGAAGACTTATGAAAGCTGGAACTCTGGAGCTTTCTGTGCAACTTGTGGAATCCAGTAAACTTCTACTGTTTATAGACCCTTGGGCAGCAAAGGGTCTTGTGAATCTAGTCAGTTTCAGGGACTTTTTGAAACTTGTGAGTTGTTTACTTCCTGAGTCTAAAGGAGCCTCTTTCTAGGGTAGACTGTTTCAGTTAGGAGGACACTATTACACAATATCCCCAGATCTGACCCAGATTTGCAGAAGTTTCTGGAACATGGTAATTTTGTCACCAGGAAGCAAGGGAAGGAAAGTCCTTCACCTGACACTGACTATGAAGTCGTTCCCCCAGGGTGACTCTTGGAGGATGTTGTAAGGTCTCTCCATTCCCTTCCCTTATTCCTCCAACTTTCCAAGGTCCGAAGGACAAGCTGAAGTCACCCCAGAAAGAAGACTCGGGAGCCTGGCTAGGGGTCTGGAGACTGGCAGGGAAGCTTCTAGGGCAGTATTTTTAAAGCAGATCTAGCCATGGTGCTCACTTAGAACACATAGTTTTCCCAGTGTAAGTAATCCTGTGCCCCAGCTGCTGCCTGCCTCTTGTGTATGTGTGTGTGTGTATGTGCCATTTTGACACAAGCTGCTGCCATGCTATTAAACAGCTGTCTCAGGCATAGGGCTCAGGCTATCAACTACGCTGATAAAACAAAACAAAACAAACAAACAAAAGGCGGACAGTGTCACCTCTAAGGAAGGAGAAGATGAGACAAAGAGGCAGGCAGCAGCTGGGGCACATGTGCGTGTGTGTGTATGTGTGTGTGTGTGTGTGTGTGTGTGTGTTTCTGTTCCTAAGCAGTGCCCATGAAGGAAAAGTATAGGCTTTCATTTTATACACAGTAACTGTGGATGCTGAAGGAATGAAGGACTGTGAACAGCTCCTCAGAGGAGCCCGATCCCTACACCTGTACTGGCCACAGCTTGGGTCCTTGATTCCTCCTCATTGCCTGTCTGTCTTGATGTCTTCATGTAATCAGAATGACCCTGTACTTGACTCCTAGAGACATCTGGCCTTGACCCAGTCCCTTTCCTACAAAGGGAGAGGTTGTGCACAGTTGGTAATTTTGCCTATACTCCCTTTTCTTGCCCTTGGACAGAATCCCAGACAAATCACCAAGCGTCTCCCTGTCTCCTAGAGAAGATCTTCCCCGCTTTTTCTACGTTAGCCATGTCCGAACTCTGTAGTTCTAGCTAACATTTGAGGACTATAATCTCTATACTTCTAAGTGACCTTCAAGTGAGGATGATGGCTAATGGATATATTGTAAGTCTTGACTTTAGGGCTAGATAGCACCATATTAAATGTCCCCAGTCTCTAAGAAGCATATGACCTTGGATAAATTATGAATCCCAGACTACTTCTTTAGTTGCCCAGCACAGAGCTGTGGTCTGCTGGGTACAATTATCTTTTCATTGCTGTTGTGTCCTTTCTAATCAGGACGAACTGGTGTCAAGGAGTATTGGGGCTCTCATTTTAGAATATTAGTGGGAATACCAGAGAGTTGGATACCCTGTATCTTAGCCTGAGTGGGAACCATCATTCCCTCCTCAGAGTACTGGAGTTGCCTCAAGCCACCTCAAGACCATCTCAGCACAAAGGAGATTTATTTGCCCCAGAGAGACAAGGACAGGGAATAAGAGTCAAAGACAGGAGATAGAAGATGAGGGAGAAGGGGACAAAGGACTGCCTCTGGATAGAGAGGAGACAGATATGGCCCACAGGAAAATGGTGGCATATAAAGATAGAAGGGAACCCCTATGTTAGGATGAGGTATTTAATTTTAATTGGGAATGTTAATTATGTGAGCCAGAGAGGGCTTTTGATTGCTGGACTTTAATGCTTTGGAAGCTAGAGCTTGATAGTCAGCCTCGAGAGGAGAAAGTGGCCAAATAAGGGAACAGACCTTGGTGGCTAGCTTTATGAATGTAGTCTAATGTTATTAACAAGGCAGAGGGAATGGGGGAAAAGAGCAAGGTCTGCCAGAGCCATGTTTGTCACACTTGGGCTGGCTGGAGTCCCTTCAGCTGATGCTCCTTCCTCAGTTTGTGTCTGCTCATCTTACCTGAACCCCCAAGGGAAAGGGGCTGAAGAGAAATTTGATTTATTACTTTGGGCTGGAAAAGCAGGTTTCCTTGCTTGTCTCTGGATGGCATCCAAGTTTCCGAAGTAGGACTCTTGCCACCCACATTTGCCTACAAGCTGTCTCAAAATCTCTGGAAAGAGCATCAGGAAATTGGAGACGAGTCTGATGAGCAACAAAGCCCAGCTGAAGACTATACTCCATGAGAGCTGTGCTTTAATCACAGTGGTCACCATCAGACTGGTTTCCATACCAAGATTGGCTTGACCCCTTTACCCTGGGCTGGGGAAAGCTGCTCAGGTCCCACCAGGGACCATCTGTGCCAACTCATTTGCAAGAGACAAAGGCGGAGAGTGCGAGATGGGGGTGCGGAGCATTCACCAGAACTAAGGTAGTACCCAACCCCTCCGTCTCTTGACTTTATCCCTGGCAGATGCCCGCCGTAGTGGGGGATAGACATGTGCTCTGAACCAGATCTCCCAAATGGTGGCATTCAACTGGCTCTAAAGAGTAAGAACCCTTGAGTGGAAAAGTACCGGTGCCCATCAAACAGATGAGACTCAGCTCCCTCAGAACCTCAGGTGCCATGCTCAGGGGAGCACCTTCAGAAGGACTGCCAGAGGATGCCAAAGCCTTATCCAGTGTGGGGCAGAGAGGGCAGGCACCCACCTGTGTAGGTTTTCTTCATTTCTATGGGAGACAGTCAGATAGAGATGTGTGGAAATAAAGCTGTTACTGGTCTACACTGGCTGGTTCTATGCCAACCTGACATGATTAAAGTCATCTGAGAGGAAACCTCAGTTGAGAAAACGTCTTTAAAAGATCAGTCTGTAAGCAGGCAAGCGATGGATGAGAGAAGACCCAGGCCATTTTGGGTGGTGTCACCCCTGAGTGGTGGTTCTGGGTTCTATAAGGAAGCAGGCTGAGCAAGCCATGGGGACCAAGACAATCAGCAGCACCTCTCCCTGGCATCTCAGCAGCTCCTGCCTCCAGGTTCCTGCCCATTTGAGCTCCTGCCTTGGCTTCCCCCGGTGGATTCTGATGTGGAATATGTAAGCCAAATGTAAACCCTTTTCTCTCTAGGTTGCTTTTGGTCATAGTTGTTTCATAATATAGCCCTAACTAAGACACAGAATTACGAAAGGTTAAAGCTGGAAGGGGCCTTCAGGTTATTTTGTCCAGACTGATTTTACAGAGATGGGTGCTGAGGCCCAGAGGCAACTAACTAGCTTGGGGAAGTAATGGTGGCCAGGGACGGTGCCCCACAGGGTTTCAGGGCCTTGGCTCTGACTCGGAGCTCCAGACAGAGGTGAGCATTTTCTGTCAGGGTATGGTTCACTGTTGAGGGCGCCTCACTGGAAAGCCCTTGATTCAGCAGCTGGGGATGGCCACCATTTCTTTTTCACGTGTAACCAGAAGCAAATGTTTGTTTGGGGCTCATGTGGGCTGTCTTCATAGCTACCTGTGAATTAGTGAATAATTTTTGGCTCTGCGAAATGAAGCCTACTTAGCCCGTTTTATTACAGAAAGGCAAATGCTTCCCAGCTGCCATTACAATGTAGTAATGGGTGTGCAAAGCATAAAGGCAGGAGTCACCTGTGAAAATACCACAGGACTGTTTTAGAGCTTATTCATCCTGGCTATGAACCTCTCATGTTGAGCGGGCATGGTGACACACCTCTTTAATCTCGGCACTCAGGGAGCAGAAGCAGGCCAATACCTGTGGTTTCAGAGCCAGTCTGGTCTATACAGCAAGTTCCAGGACTGTGAGGAATAAATAGACCCCCGTCTTGAAAGTAAGATAAATGAACCCTCAAAAAAAATCAAATAAATAAAATTCAGGTTCGAGTCTTTGCTTAAACGCAAGACAACTTCTTTAGAGGCCTGAGCTGAGGTGGTCACCTGGAAGGCCAGTGGTGGCAGGAGTCCAGGAGGCCCTTTGTACCTCCTGTCCTCTGCTTCCTCAATCCTCCACTGATGGGGCGTTGGGGTGGGAGTTGAAGAATCATAAGAGCCCATGTGGTATTCTTACCAGGAATGAAGTCAAAGCTCTAACACACATACAAACTCTCTCTCTCTCTCTCTCTCTCTCTCTCTCATCCACCCGTCTTTGTCCTAGCAGTTCCACTCACTTTTAGACATACTTCCAAGAGACTATACATCTACATGAGAGACAGGCATAAAAATATCCACAGTGGCAGTTCCTATAAAATAACTGTGAAGGGGGAAGAAGGTGATTTAAATGAACATCAATAGAATGGGCTGTGGAGGAGCCATACAGCAGAATATTATACAGCTGTGAAAGAAAAACTAGAACCGCATGTCTGCATGAAGCTTAGAATTTTAATGTCGAACAAAAATAGTGTGGTGCAAAGCTTAGAAACAGACAGATACTCTCTAGTGCTCAGGAGTCACATGATCATATAGCAAAAATCTAAAGGAATGCTGGGGCTAACAAACCAGAATGCAAGAGCCTGGTCCCAGCACTAGTGGGGAACTCGACTATAGTCCTCAATGTTTAGTGAAGTTGGCAGAGGTCCATGGGTGCTTAATGCACACGCTTTTCCCCCCCCTAAATTTTATACATCTAAAATATTAAGGAAAAGGAACAAAGAGAAACACTGGGCTGCCAACCCCATTGGAAATGATTTATTTACCACTGTAAGATTTGTGCTCCAAATTGTAACCAGGCATGTGACCACAATGTCTCATGCGTCTTTTTGTGCTTTGATTTGGGACCATCTAACAACATCTAACAGGAAACACCAAGGGCAGAGACACTCCAAAGGTTGCCACCTCAGTCCAGACACTGGCGCCTCCCACTGGGCTGGCTGACATCCGAGAGCAGCTGAGCTGAGCTCCTCTCCCGGCTTCTTCTATCTGCTGCTTCCACTAAGGGGGTGTGCTGGTGGCCGCCCTGGAGTCATCTCTAGTCAGAATGGACAGACACATGCAAGGTCTTGGTGGGCAAATGCAGACAAGTAGACACCTAGTGAGGGTGGGAGGGGGTTCACAGAGGACTGTGGGAACTCACACACTAACAGCCCAGCAGCAGCCTAGCCTGAAAGTGCCTCTCGATTTATTTCTGCCTCTTGCTAGAAAATGCCCCCTGACAAAGGCTTAGGTTCTTTCCCCTAACATGAACTGATCCCACATGTTCACGCAGATTCAGGGTTGCTCATTGATTCAGAGGCGACTTACAAGCATGGCTGGAAGCAAGCTAAGCCAGTGTCAAAGGTCACTGAAGGTTTTCGGTTCAGTGTTCTCACATCTCTGAGTAATTTACAGAGGAAATTTTGGAGAGAAAGTACTGTCATGAGAGGAGCTAGGAACTATATGAGGTGAGCAGTGACAGATTGATGTCAGCTGAGAAACTAGTTGATTGCCTTCTGAAGTTGGCCTGGCAGGCCCCCATGACATCGGTGTTGTGCTACAGGTGGCCACACTGAGGCGCTGTGGAGCAAGGAAGTGACTGACAACCTGAATTGTGCAGCCACTTACATTTAATTCCTAGATGGTCATCTGTTGGAAATATCAACAGAGGCAGCCAAACTTAGCTTCTTCTTGTTTCCCAGTTGAAGGAACGTGTCCCCCAAACCGGAAGGAGGCACATTTTCAAGCGGCCACATTTCCTCTTTAAAGTTGTCATCCGCCTCCTCGTTCACACAGCCAGACAGAATTAGCCAAGCTCCGAGCTTCAGGAGGACCTGAAGCCCAGGCACACTGAGAAGTACAAGTCTGTCCTGTGGAGTCAGCTCGGCGGGAGACACTTTGATACAGTCTCTCAAGTTGTGATGACCTCCAACCATAAGATTATTTTCATTGCTACTTCATAACTGTAAGTTTGCTACTGTTGTGAATCACAATGTAAATAGTTTTGGAGAGAGAGGCGTGCCAAAGGGGTCACGACCCACAGATTGAGAACCGCTGCTTTAGACTGACGTGAGCAAGGACTGCCCACAGAATGTACCTGACACATGTCTTTTCCCATAACACACATGAGCAAGACACGGAATTCTGAGTGACCCTGATGTGCCAGTCACACTCACCGTCCTGGTGACCCCGCCCACTTTTTAGTATTAGGAATATAGTAAGAGAGGACTGAGGTCCTGGCCCCAGCCAGCATTTCTGCCTCTGTCCTTGGGTGTAGGCGTGTGGACAGGGCAGGAGGGGATGACTGACGGCTGAGGCTGGAGGATGACTGTGTCCCAGAAGGACTGTCAGCGGCTGAGGGCTGACTACAGGTGCAGCTGGTGCCACATGGCGATCTGCCGGCGCGGGTTCTTCAGCATCTCCTCCCAGTGGCTGCGCTCGGAGCCTGAGGCATGCAGGCCAAGGCTGCAGTGGCCCAGCTCAAAGCTCGGCCCCTCCTCGCCCTGGCCCAGCACCTCCAGCTCCACACTAGAAGCCCGAAGCAGGTCATCCGGTAGCTCAAACATGATCATCTCGTTCCACACAGGGTTGATCTTGTGCTTGGCTCTTTTTGTCTGTTTCTTCTTCAGCTTCTGAGCCTGGTGCTTCAAGGTCACCTTGACAGAGACATCTAGGGAGGGGTACAGAGGAAGGAAAGATGGAGGGGAGCAAGTGAGTTGCTAAGATATCTGATCACACCAGTAATACTGCCCCTTCCTGGGGTTTTCCATACTTCTGCTGGACCATGCTTTCACTCAAAAGATATTAAATATCTACCAGCTGGCAGGGACTGGTCTAGATAGATATAGAAACACAAAGTTGTCATGTCTGTAACTTGTACTAGAATGTGAAAGACTGGCCATACAGGTTGCATATCTTTATCTGTTAAGGTTTGGGACCATTAACACTTCAGATTTGGTGTGTTTTTCATACTAGGGGATACTTGCAGATATGAGATATCTTGGGGATAGGACTCAAGCGTAAGCACAAACTTCATTTAATGATTCTTTTTTTTCTTGAACCTAGAGTCTTACACATACTAAGCAATCATGCATTCTACCACTGAGTCAGCTCTCCAGCTTTCTTTTCCATTTTTCTTTAGAGACAGGGTTGCACCAAGTCACCCCAGCTAGTCTCGAATTCCTCTACAGCCCAGGCAGGCCCGAAACTTGAGCTCTTCCTGTTTTCAGAGACCCTGGGGTTCCAGTCCTATACCTCTGGGTTCACACTCATACACAAAGCCTGAAGATGCTTTTACACAACGTAAAACCAAGTTTTCATGGTGTAAAACTCCCCACTACTCAGGAGAGCCCAGGTGTCGGCGGTTATCGGATTTTGGGTTTTCAGATTAGATATACATCAGCCTGCAACAAAGCATATGAGGTCAGTGGGTGGCGTGTGTCAGATGGCCTCTGGGGAACCACGTTGACTATAAACCCTTCTAAGTGACTTGACAAACCAAGCCATGGACAATGGCTTAGATGACTTCCTGTTTGATTTCAGATCAAACCAGGGACAAGGGCTTAGGTTACCCCCAGTTTGAGTTAAAATGAGACCAGAACACCAACGACCTCTCCACCTTCATCCTCTTCATTCTCTAGTCAGCATTTGTGTCCATTGTTAAGATGGTGCGTGTCCTCCTGGCTGAGTTCTGTTCACTTGTCTTTTTTCTAAGTTTACGTGAGGAGCTGGATTTCCTGTGAAGAGGGTGAAGGCAGGCTCCCTGTCCCCAGGTCCCCAGGAAGTCCACAAGTCAGCAGGCAATCTTCCACAGTTTAGGACATTCTGTTTTCATTAGTCAAGGTTGCCCAAGCTAACGAGATAGTAATTGTTACTTTGTATTTATTGCTATCGCTATTGCCCCTGGGTGGTTAGTTTGTTATTTCTACAGAGATATTTCAGACACAAAGTGCTCTTCTGTAATGATCCTAATGGGAGCTATTTAAAAAAAAAAAAAAAAAGGCAAGGCAGAATTGACTGGAAGGGATGAAGCGAGGCATCTACCTCTGACCTGTGGCTCAGAACTGCAGTAACACCAGCCCTTCTGATTTCATTTGCTCAAGACCTGTTAGGAATGCACAGGCAAATCTATAAATATAAATTGTAACTTTTAATGCATACAGATGATTTCTGTAGTATTGATACTGAACACTCCATTCACCGTGTAGACGTGGCCCAGCTCATCCCTGATGCTTTTCTGTTTTGCTAGGAGAACCTGCTTGGTCTCCACAACTAGGGACCTGTGCGCAGGTATCAGAAGGCAACCCCAAACCTACAGACTTCTACAAAGAGCCTTCTGTGAGCATCTGTACCATAGACTCCTCAAACCCCAGACTTTACCTTCGAAGCCACACGCTAGCAGCTGTCACCCATGCTCAGTGGGTGTGTATGAGAAGAAGGCATTTGGTCATGGCTTGGAATGGAAAGCAGAGTGAGAGGGTGTTGGAACACTAGCAGAGATGTGACAGAACTTGAAGGCATGAGTGTGCCTGTCAGAACAGACTAGTATATCCTGGGCAACAGATGCTGAAGGAGACTCCACAGCTGAACCCCTATCACCTCCCATTTTAGGTCAGGTGCCACTGACTTCTGCATGTATTGTGAGCTGAGGCACCCTGGCTCTATCCTTTCACCCTTACTCACCCTTGCCCAGAAGCTCCTTGGATTGGTTGGAGTGGAGGTTCTTGGCTTTGATCAGCACCACCAGGAGGCGATTGGCAGCTGGGAGGTAGCTGATTGACAGAAGGACCTCCCCAGTCCCTGCAGATGGCTCCTGAACACAGAAGGATAGAGATTACCCTTGAGTCTGACTTCTGACCTGTCACCTGAAGCTGAGGGGAGTCACACAGCCCTCATACCCATAGACATCTGGGATCCATTCACCTACGGCTAGTTTATCTACCACCACACAAGGCAGGCAGCAGGGCCCAGAGGAGGGGGGCTGGCATGTGTGTCAAAGGGAGTACTTGGTCTATCACATGCCATCTCTCTATGTTTAGTTTTTTGAGACAGGGTCTCACTATGTAGCCCTAGCTAGCCTGGAAATCACTAGGTAGGCCAAGCTGGCAATGAACTCAGAAGTTTACCTGCCTCTGCCTCTACAGTACTGAGATTAGGCATGAGCCACCACACCCTGTCACATGATGTCTCTTTAAATCTAATTTATGAATGGAAAATAGCCCCCACTCAGGCTACACTGAAGGAAGAAAGTGGGGCCCCTTTCTCCTTCTGTACTCTTTGCCTAGACTCTGGGTATCCCTTTGTAGATCTCTAGGATCCTAGGGAACCCAGTTTGAAAGTCACAGCATGGACCCATCAGGCTCCTGGAGGGGTAGAGAGTTATTTCTTTTTCCCCTGGATTTTGTTTATTTTTAATTATGTGTGTGTGTATGTGTGTGTGTGTGTGTGTGTGTGTGTGCATGTGTGAGGACAGGTACCTCAGAGACCACAAAAGATCATCAGATCCCTTGAAGCTGGATTACAGATAGCTGAGAGTCACCCAAAATTCATGCTGCAACTTGGGCCCTCTTTAGGAGTGGTAGGAGCTCTCAGTTAACTGAGCCGCTTTTCCCAGGACCAAGTTGTCCATTTCTTTGCATGAAGAGAAGACTCCAGCTTTGCAGCACAGCATCACTAATGAGGTGGCTGCCAAAGCTTAACAAGGACTGGAGTCACCAACAGGAGCCAGTATCATGAGCACAAGGCTGGGTCACCAGGGAAGACTAGCAAGGACTGAGTGGCAGTGGAGTAGTCAGAGTATGTGCTGGTCCTCTAGGAAGCTGGCAGACACTCTTGGTTCACCCCTGTGAACCTCAACCTCCTGTAAGAGTGTGAAATGTTGCCAAGTCCTTTGAAGAACCCTTCCTTGCCCTGTGGCACACCTTTTAGTACCCAGATTTTCTGCTTTTTTGCTGCTCAGTGAGGGGATTCAGGGAGATCATCCCCACCCCCACACTGGGATCACTGGCGAGTGGTCACAGAGCCCTTTACCTCCTTCAGTCGCACAAAGGCAGGCCGTGGTGCCTGGCTGTGTGTTCTGAGCACACCCTCAGCCTCAGAGCATGCCTGTCATCCAAGACAAATGTCTCTACCATGACCCCAAAGGCTCATTTTTCCCAGGGGACTCTTGAGATTGTCCTTTGCTCTTGAGGGAGGAGCCAGCTCTCTATCCTAATTAATTCCAATTTGTTGCTCTAATGTCTCCTCCTCCTTTGAATTGTTTCTAGGATAAGAATTAGGGAACCTGCAGTAGCAATACCTCTGCAGAGAAGCAAGATAACCCCACCCACACCTTTGTCCCCACAATCATCTTCCCCCGTGTCATCTGTGAGCTACTGTCAGGACAGGAAAGCAGAGAGCTTCCTTTGGAGATTGCTAGACTTGCCACCCTCCCCATGCAGAACAGAACAAGCCTTCCTGCTCTGCTCCCATTCATCTCTTTGCTAATTGGACCCTTGAGGCAGCTAGTGGTCTTTCCTGGTCGGCTGAAGTGCCCAGAGGCAAGCCTTGCACTCGATATTCCAGCACAAGTGTAATTAAATATAGGTGGCTGGTCACATGACACATTGATCTGCGAGTCTCAGGGAAGCTTGGGATGGCACGAGTGCAGACAACTCAGGTCTATTAAGCAAGGGCACTGTGCTCCATGCGAGTGTGTCGCCTGCTCCACCAGGCTGCAGGTTCATTACACACCTCGGGCACCAGGCACACACTGAACACAAAATAAATATTTGCCAGAAAAAAAAAAATTCAGGTGTCTCTCTTAATCTTGGCAGTGACCTTGAGAAGGACACTGAGATTCTCATTCTCGGCAGGAGACCCCCTCCTGGGTCAGTAGCTATGACATAGCAATCTGAGACTCCCATGGAGTCGGCTGTAAGGGAGCCCAAGTCTGAGATCACTGCTCTGGCTTCCTGAATGGACAGTCTCTCGTAGCTCTCTCATGTCACAGTGAAGGCACTGAGGACTGGAGACAGGTGGCAAGCAGGCAGCCCAGGAGCTGCAGAGCTGGCAAGGTAAGCTATCCTGAGCTCCACAGCTGAGCTGGACTGCTGTTATAAAGGGCCAGGCCTGAGCCCTCTACTGCTCCCAGAGCAGGCCTACATCTCTGTGCTCCTGGGAAGGGCTTCTCACATGTGTAGGGGTGAAAACCAGGACCAGCCTTATGGATGTCATCAGACAAGAGAGCTGTAGCAACACCCCACCCTGGCCTCAGATGCTCAAAGCACCACAAATGAAAACCAGCCTTTGTTTCTTCTCCCTTTTCCTGTCTCTCCCCACTTCTTTTTTTTTTTTTCTTAGATGCTCAATGAATCACTCACTCCAGGCCGCCCTCAGAGTGGGGTGCTCTGTTGTCCCCAATGACGCACATGCCACTTTGGGCTAAATGTCTTCCAGCAGGAACTGGGGCACTGCTGCCACCTCTGTTAACCCATTCAAGACCAGAAAAGAAAAAAAAATATCTGGGCTGCAGCAGCTGCAGACTCCCTCACCAGCTTTTGGTCAGCCTTCACTCTCCATCAGAGTAGGGCTTCCTGACCTGGCCTGGAGGTTGAAGGCTCCCCACGCCGCTGCCCAGAGGGAAAGAGATATGCCCAGCTAGCTGTGGAGTGGTGACAGCTTCAGGAAGAGTGATGACATTAAGATGGATGAGCCTGAGGACAGGACTCCAGCTGCAGTTGTGGCAGGCTGCCTGGGACACAGTAGGGGTTGGGTGAGGTACTTGTGAATGAGTGATTGTTGTCTTTCAGGGGATGGACAGAAGCGGGCAAGACACCCAGGATTCTGTCTCAGTGAGGGTGAGTTTCAGCCCTTCTGTGGTTGTACCAAAACACATATGCTTGGTAGGGGGACTTCCTAAGCTCCAGAGAGAACCAGCTTACTACTTTAATAAGCCCATGTGTCTTCTCTGCCATTAGGGGCCCTGTGACAACACAAGCACCTCAAATCACATACTTATTAGAAAGTGGGTTTTGAAGCAGCAGGCTCAAAGGGTGGTTGTGTTTTGTTTTTTTGTTTTTCCTATCAATTTTCCAAGCTGAGAAAAACAGAAAAATGATGACCCAAAGAGAAGCAGGCAAGAAGTAGAGTGCTCTCTGCCTCCTATAGTCCAGGCTTGAACAGGAAAGACTTCTGTCCGTCACCTCCTCTGCCAGGTGCATGGCAGGTGAAAAAAAGCACCCAGGAAGAGTCAGAAGGACATGCCGTTGAGGTTGCACTGTCTATCTGGTCTGGTCTGCGGATGCTGTGTGGATTGTTAATCAAGTGAACCTCAGTTCCCCTGAGTGCAGTTCCCCTGTGTTGCCCCTACCTGGCTGGTTTGGGAAATGAAGACAATGACTACTACTCAGGGAGGTGACTTCCTGAGCTGAGCCACTTGAGCTACTGAGATGAGGAACACAGAAATGGTGTCCAGACGGGCAAGTTGGCAACTTGCTTTATTGAGAAAAGTGATAGGAAAGGCTTTCAGCTTTGCGGGCCTTGCAAGCTGATCTTGACTGGTCCAGCCTCTGGCCCATGGGGGTACATCAAACCTTGTAGACAAAGGATCGCTGTGAATGTCACCCAATGCAAAACTATAAACACACTACTTAAGGCATTCTAAGATTATGGGTTTTTTTTTTTAAATATAACTTGATTGCATGGTTCTTAGATACATCTTAGTGGTGTAGACCAGCTAATTGGCAGATGAGTTGTCATTATCAGAAGCTCCCTGAAGGCTCCACACTGTTAGGCTCTTGGATAGATCCTGAGGACTTCACACCATCCCTGCCCTGCCTTGACTGCATGCTATCTTGACATGTGAAGAACATGGTTTGCTCCCCAAGGAGCAAGAGGTCTCAGCAGTCTCCACAGAGGACACTATCCCCAACCAGTGTCTCTGCAGACCGTGGGTGGTACTCTGGTCTTCACAGAGCCCAGGTAGCTCCTTCAGAGCCAATACTAGCTCTCCTGCCTACCAGGCCTTCCAGAACCCTCCATCAGAGTGCATCTCTTCTTAGACATTTCGGTATCTAACTCCTGTCTCAGATTGCTGTCAGCAGCCATCTGTATCCTCTTGTCCCCCAGTCTGCATGCTCTGAAAACATGCTGCCTTCCTCATATCTCTGCAGGGTTAAGCTTAGGAGGAGCATAGGAACCACAGCTGGATTCAGGTGAGGGAAGCTCTACCATAGCACGGAAGCTGATATACCCTGCATTATACTGCACTTGGCAGCAGGGGCATCTTTGAACAGTAAGAGGTACCCCTTGGGATAGGTGCCAGGATCCCCAAGTTCTGGACTATGAGCCCTCCCAGCCTCCCTTTAGGAGCCCCATCTGCCTTTTGCCTGAGCCAAGAATGTCTCTGCACCTTGTTTTATCACCTCAATGGTCTACTCTCGCCCTCTGCCAGCCAGCTCTAGCCCTCAGGTCTGAAAAGCCCCTACCTTTGCTGTGGTCTTCAGCTCACCCCACTGTGCCACTCCCAGGGGAACAGATGTTCCATCCAGGCCCAGGCAGAGTTCCCCAATCACACTGTGGCGTGAGAAGCGGTCACAGGTCCGAAGAGTGAGCGTCAGGGTGGCTTTGGGAAGCTCCTCCTCACCCAGGGGCAAGGCCAGGCCCTCCTCCCAGGTTGTGTGCAGCTGACGTTTCTTCAGAGCCGTCTGTGCCTCCACGGAGCCAGTCTTGATAGCCACGCTGCCTTGGATGTAGCAGTCACAGCCTCCTTCGTGGTCACTGGTGACAGCTGCAGGCAAGGACAAAACAAGACAGACCTGGCACTTCCCAAGGATGGGTGGAGTAGGTCCCCTGACAGGACTACAGAACACAGATGACCTCCGCGTCTGCAGGAGCCTGGGACTGACCACTACATTCCATCACTGTGCAAATGTCTTGTAGAGAAACATTTCAAGATGAAACATCACGTGGGGGGCGGGGTGAGTTTTCCTCGGATAACGGGGAAAAGAGGAGGCATTTCCTATATGCCTTCCCACCTCAAGATTCACACGTATATTCATTGGTGCCAAGGCCCCTGAAGAGCTTTTATTAGGATAGCTACCAGTGCTGTGACTCATGTATTTCTGTATCTTCAATATTTACCACACAGTCACTTGCAAGCTGAATCACTGGGCTGCTGCCTCATGGCTGTTGCTTCCGAGTCTCACCCTTGATGTTTTAGGTGCGTCACACTGTGAACTGTGTTAGTCAGCTTTCTGACACTATAACAAATACCTTAGAGAATCAACTTATAAACTGAAAAGGTTTACTTAGGTTCAGGGTTTTGGAAACTCTAGCCCATGATGACAGTGGCAACATGACTTTGTGGAGCAGCATAGTCATGGCAGAATCACGTGACCAAGCAGAACAATTCACATGATGGCCAGGAAACAAATGAGTATGAAGAAGAGACCAGTGGACTAGGGAACAAGTGTTAACCACGTGCACCTTTGAGAGTAGTTAGGAACTAAGCTGTAGCACCGGTGTGAACCTCCTAGCAGGCATTTGGCCAGTCTGGTTGGCTTTGGTCTTGAACCTCACCAGGAAAGGAACCTGGGTCTCCCACACAGTGTGCCCACCCTGTGCCATTAAGCTCCTCTCCTCCTGGCAGGTGTTTCTAAAGTGTCATGGCAAGGTGTCCTGAAGCTCCTCCTCTTCCCAAGACACTCTGGTGACTGTCCCTTCAGTGTGGAAGTCGACATTTCACAGAGAGAGGGAGATGTTGAATGAGCCCTGTCTCCACAAATGAGGCCTGAGGACCTGATGTCCCAAAAGACAAGAGCATTCTTCTGAGCTTCAAGGGGCTGCTTATTCCTGGCTCTGTCACTTAGTATCAGAGTAACCTGGATAACCTCGTAGGAGAGGCTAGAACTCAGTTTCCTATTCTGTAAAATGGCATTTCCCCGAGGATCAGAGGTACTAAAGCACATGAAAGTGCTAAAAGATCCTAATCAACAGTAAAAAGGGAAAATTCTAACTCAGATGAGGAAACCAGGGGCTAAGGAAAAACTCAGATGCAGGACACTTAGCAAGTTTGAAGCCCTAATTTCCATCCATAAGGTCAAGTTTAACACAAGTGATGTGATATGCGACAGTTAGCTTTGTCAACTTGGCAGGATCTAGAATCATTCAGGAGACAAACTTCTGGGCATGCTCAAGACGGAGCTCTTCCATCCAATTGTGGGAGGCAGCCGAGTCTAAGGTCCTAGAGTTCATCGCTCCCTACTTCCGGTCTGTAGACACAGGACGACCAGCTACCTCAAGCTCTGGCTGCCATGTCTTCTCCACCATGGTACACGATGGACATGTACCCTTGAATTATGTGCCATAATAAAATTCTTTCTCTGTAAATTACCTTTGTCAGGATATTTCTGTCACAGCAACTAGACAATTAAACGCCTGTTTGAACCTGCAAAGGCCATGCGCTGCAGGCGCAGCCCCTGGCTGATGGAGCTCTAGGGAGGTGGGGCCGAGTGGAAGGAAACCAGTCACTAGGCATGTTCCTGAAGAGAATATTGGGACCGCTTGCCCTCTGCTTCCTTGTCACTGCAAGTTGAGCGCCTTTGCCCAGTGTGTGCTCTCTGGCATGGAGTTCTGCCTACTGTGCTGTTCTGTTCACAGACCCAAAGGCAACAGAGCCACCCATGGACTGAAGCCTCTGGAGCTGTGAGCCAAAACAACTCTTTCCTCCTTTTAAGTCCCCCTCCTCAGGCATTTTGTCAAAGTGATGGAAAATCGCCAACACTGAAACAAGAGGAATAAGGAAGAGACACAATGCACGGCTGACCCCATCACTCACTACCAGCCCTGGTTTCCTTGCAAAATCTTAACTTGGTTGGTGGCGAGGTCTACTGTCAGTGAAGTGGTCCCCAGGACATCTTACCAGACAAACCACCCAATTCTTGGGGAAGTTCTCAGAAATGTTTCTGACCTTTGAGAGAGAGTTTTTGTCTGGCACAAATCCCTGTTTAAGGTCAAAGGCATTGCTGGCAAAGGCTTCTAACTCTTCATCACCACTTAGCTCCTCATCCTCTTGGGCAGCCTGCCAGGCCACATTTCCTAGGATACCCTGTAACAAGTGTGGCCAGGTGACAAGGCTCCAACCAATGGGATGTGAGCAGAAGTGACACATGCTGTGTCCATTAAGGCTATCACAGAATGGCTGTGCCACCTTCTAGTTCTTGTCTTATCAGCTAGAAGCACCTAGCAGAAGGCATGAGGAGCTTAGAGAACCACAGGTGGAAGGGACTGGTCCTTGGGTCACCATGTAGAGGAAAGATCTGCCAGGCAGGAATCCCTGATTTTCATGGCTATGGAAGGGAAGGAGAAGAACCTCTGTGTCCAAGAATCATTTGAGACTGTTTGTCAAAGTCTAGCCCTTGTACTCTCGGCCACAGACCCTCCCATCCTGCCTGCAGGGCATTTGATAGTCCCTGCCAATCACACAAAGCAGTACCTTCCAGGCTAGTCACAAATAACTCAGCCTTCTTCTGGTCATAGTCCAGGCGGAAGTGGAGTTTGGGGGCCTGGTTCCAGCTGGCAGCCTTCTCTGGGTTCCAGGTCTCCATAACACAGACATCCTCCACCACACCTGGGAGACAGACAGGGTGACCATGGTTATCATGCTGGGTTCTGCTTCCCTGAAGATATGCCATCTAAGCCAGCAATCCGAGACCAGAACTGTCCCAAAAGGGGACTGTGGCGCTACACCTCAAGGGACCATTGGGGTCCAGTGGTCAATATGTGGGTTTTGATGCCCTATGCAAGCAGCCACATTGCAGCTGTATATCCTTTAGGGGATGCCTTCTCAGCTCAGTGCTTAGCCTATAGTGAGCATCCCACAAAAAAGCTACTGGATGGTTCTGGTCGAGGATGGAATTGTGGGCAAGTCCCATAGGAATGAGCCGGTGAAGATAACAGCACAGAGCAAGTCCAGAGTAGGTGCGGCTGGCAAAGATGGTGGCTTTGGCTTTAATTTATGTGCACTTAACATTTTCTAAGTGAATGGAGGACCTTATCTTTAATCAAGAAGGTCCTAAAACCACTAACAAAATTGCCAGTATTGCTGCCTCTGCTCCTCTCTTGAGCTGGAGCCTAAAGGGAGAATTAAGAAGCCACAATGGCTGCCACAGATGACATTTTGAGCAATCAGAACTGAACCGCTGATCCTCAGAATGAAATAGAGGGCAGAACTCTGGAGGCCATTCATGTCCCCAAGGGACATGATTAGATTCCTGATACAGACCGTGCTCGAAGGAGCAGATTGACCATGGTGAGACCAAGGCACACATATGTGCAGGACGCACTTGGCTCCTGAAGTCATCCTGAAGACAGCAGGCTGGGTGAGAAGGGACTTAGTGCTACCGAGAGCTCTCCGGCTCAGGCAGCCTCAGCCTGAGGATCCACCCAATCCCTGCTGGCATCTCCTATCCCGGAATGGGCATCTCTTGTCCTCTCTTCAGGGCAGCATCTGCAAAGCTCACTGTGCGGCTGTTCTTCCTAAGTGACCGAGGGACAATACCATGTGAAGGACAGCAATGGACTTTTCAAACATGGGGTGCTGAGCACCATGGTGAGGGGAACAGAGGGGCTGGCCCCGGGGGAGTCAAACACAGTCATGCATCATGCTAGCTGCCCATGGATCAGAACCAGGCTGCTGTCCTCTGGAATGGGAAGGGAATGGATAACACGAATACATGTGTGCTGGATTCCCTGCAGCCAGGCATTGCTTAACTTAGCGGAGGGATCTATCCCAGTTTCATCCAAGCGCCTAGTGACCAGGGGCTCCTGAGAGAGGCTCTGACAGTGGGAACCACCCCCAAGAGTGCTCACACCCAAAAGTCTTGCCTGACTTTCCACTCGAGTCTTCAATTTGGAATCTATTTAAAATGTGAGCATGGAGCCTTAATCTGAGGGCCAAGAAGGTCTCCCCATTTGCAGTGCAGATTGAAGTGGTTCCTGAAAAGCCAACGTGTGCCCCTGCAGTAGGCCACCTGTCCACCGTCCAACAGGAATGCACAGGGACCCAGGTCATTGTCAAGCTGCTGCTTCCCGCCGTGCCACATGCAGTGAGCCTGAACCACAGAACCGGCCCCTTCAGTCTTAGGATTGTTCTTCAAAGCTTCTGTATTACAGGTTAAGGCCTGAATCTCCTGCTGGCATCCTGGCTGCACCGTGCTGGGCTGCCTGTGGGTGCTACCTTCTGAAAACTGGTGCTCATAGAAAGAATAGGGACAGTGGCAGCAGCTCTCTGTTTAGATGCTTTGTGCTAAGCCCTACTCCGAGTATTTTATTTTCATCATTGTTTATAAACATTTCACAGTAACCTTCACAGGTAGGTGATATGGTCCCACTTCATCAATGAGGATGAAGTCCCAGAGAGGCTTAGCAGCATGTCTGGTGCCACAGAGCAAGCATATAAAAAGACAGAGAGTTAAACATATAACTCAGAAGCCTGTTTTTAACTTTGATTTTTTTTTTTTAAATCCCTTATGTAATTGCACAAGATCCGAAAGAGACTCTTCATTTCTCAAGCTGGTTGCCAAACTATGGAACCACACCACACCACACAAGGCTCTCTACAGCTTTGGCAGGTAACACACTGTATCCCAAGATGCTGTCGAGACCCTCCCTGTCCCCTGTGCTGCCCACCAGGCGCAGGGAACCCTACCATTCTGAGGAAGGATGAACAGCTCCTCTGTGACCTGCCTCTTGAGGCGACTGTCACTCTGGGCCTGGGGGCTGGCAGGCGCAGCAGACTCCTCTATGGACCCCAGAGTGTAGTCTGCATAGTTGATGACTTCTGGGGCTGTCACGGCTGGCCGGGGACCATAGATGTCCGGGAACTTAAGGAGAGGCCGAGGCTGGACAGGCTCCGTGGATTTTTTAATGTTGAACTACAAATGTGAACAGAAATGGTTAACTGGTGTGAGTAGGAGGGTGTAATAGGGATCATCTCCACTCCAAGAAGGAGAAGAGGGGGCTGACTTCCTGACTTCCTGAAGGATGCAGGAAGTCTCTCTCTCTCTATTTCTCCTCTTCCTCCCCTTCCAATGGCTGAGGCATGCCAGTGGTCCCAACCACACCACAAAATCCAGACCCCTGTAAGAACCTGCCTGACCCACTGGGCTCTGGCACTTCCCAAATCTGTCCGCCTCCTTTCTAAGGCACCCCAAACCATCTCTTACCCACCCATCATCCATCTAAACTATACTGTTTAGCTGTTGGTAGCCTGGCTGCGGTCTGTCCCAAGCCCTAGCATGCCTGACCCATGAGCACAGCAACTAGGTCTTGCCTTCCTCCTACATCTCACCTAAGTGTGGGTTCCATCTGTTTTACCATTTCACAGTGGGGAAACTGAGACCCAGCAGCACTCAGAGCTATATGGAGCCACTAGAGGCTTTGACAGGATTTCATACCATTTACCTGTCGGTATCAGCTGTCGTTTGGCCACTACTAGTGACCAAATGGCAATTGCATCACCATGGTCCAGTCCCAGGTGTTCTGCTTTGTTCCTCAGCCCCAAAGGAACTCCTAAGATACTAACAGGTCTCCGCCATCCTTGACTGAGATCCAGCCTTCTGACAGATGTTGGGACCAGAAGTGAGGCTGTTTGGACGGCCTGGGGAGCATGTCCATGTTTGCATTTGATTTTATTCCAGCTCGGTAGCTTTATAGAAGGGCTGGGTTTGGTTCTTGGGTTTGCTTCATGCCTGGATGAGCCTGTGGTTTTGACAGGGGACTCACCGGTGGCTCAAGGAATGAATGAGGTTCTCCATGGGGCCTCTTGCAGAGCTGGAGTCTAAGTTCCTGCCTATCCTGAAGCAAAAGACCCATCCTGACCCCCTTTGTCTGCTGTCCACAATTATCACTTGGCTGATTAGGGCCACCTTCAGCCACTAGGATGTCACTGTTTGTTCTGATCCTCCTCTCCAAGCCATTACCTTGGTGACTTTTCCTGCTCTGGGGTTGGATGGCACCAATCCTAGGGAAGCCAGCCCAGATGCTATGGTAGGCATGGTCTCCAGACAGAATGCATCCTGCTGGGCAGAAAGCACATGCCCCTGTCTTTTGACTGCAAGATGAGTCAGACGTAGGACAAAGCCAACACTGTGCACTGAGGGCAGAAGGACATGGAGTCTGCCTCTCTGATTTTAATATCATCTGGCCACCAAGGCCACCTACCCTGTGGCCTGGCCATCTCAGCACGTTCACAAGTACAGCTGATTTGAGTTGGGAATTTCTACCTTGCAACCCAGAACATGCCAAATGGATGCCCAGCACTGCAGGAGGCTCCTGAGGGCTCACCAACCCGATGTCCACTCAGCCCCCTGGAATCTCTGTGTGCCCAGCATATGGCTTCCATACTTGGTATTGATCCTTATCCTGGGTGCAAACAGTGGCCTTTTGCAAGAATGATTAACGGCCCAAACTGGAGTAGAGGTGCTGTTGGTAACTCAAGTCTTCAAGGCACAAAAGCACCAACCACCTTGTTCTGCATTTTAGAACCCTGTTTCAGGGCCATTGAGATGGCTCACTGGTTAAAGGCATTTGCTGTCAGATCTGACAACCTAAGTTTGATCCTCAGAACCCACAAAATAGAAGGAAAGAACTGACTCCCATGAGCTGACTTCTGGCCTCCACACATGGACTATGGCAAGCGTGCTCCCTACATACACACAAATAAGCAAACAAATAACTAATTGTAAAAAGTTTTATCTTTCTGTTGCATGTCAAATAGCTGAAACCTCACTGCTCAAGGCATAGAAAAGAGATTTAGGGCAAACAGAGGGAGCCTGGGAGAAGGGGATGGGGAGGGACAAGAATGTCTGGAAGAAAGGGGATGTTGAGGAGCAGGCACACCAGCTCCCAGGTGGAGGTAAAGAGGTGACACTCAGGGCTTCTGGCCTCCCTGTTTTTGAAGCCCAGGACAGAGACCTGAGACAGTGGGTGCTAGTATGTCAGGAAAGATGCTCAGAGGAACTACAATTCAGCAGTTAGGAATGGATGTCTGCCTATCTATGTGGAGCCAGACAGACAGAAGAGACACACATTCAGAACAGACCCCCCAGAGGAGCCCCTTGCAGTCTCCCAGCCTCACCTGACTCCCAGGCTGTTAGCCTCTGGCTCCCTGCACCATGGCCAACTCTGCAGGCACCAGGTTCAGGCTAGGGGGCATGTACCACAGTGCCTGGAGACATGCCCAATACATACACACAGTCACATATATACCAACACCCCATACATGTACATACATACACACATACATATATAAACGCACATACGTACACATATACATATAATCCACATGTACATACACACATACATATACAAGCACACACAGATATGTACACATACGCACATATATAACACACACACACACGTGCATAAATTGAAACTGTCATAGTGACTCACACTTCAGGAGGTGAAGGTAGGAGGATCACAAGTTGGAGGCCAGCCAGACCTATATAGTAAGATTCTTCCACAAACATCTTCAAAATAAAGTTTCTTTTTGGGAAAAAAAAAAATGTGAAAAGCCAGCAGCTTTGGGGGTAACTTGACTGTGAATCTTTGTTTTTCTTCCTCTTTGTTTTCCCCCATGGCGTCTTTGGAGCTTTGGATTGGAGGTGACCCCTGCAGCCCCAGCTGTCACCCTGGATGCTAAGTGCGTGCTTGCCTCCTGCCCTTCCTGCCAGCCTCAGCCCCACCTTCCAGCCTCTGGCTTCCTAAGGAAACAGGCTGGAAGGCTCAGGCTGTCTATAGCAGCTGTTGCAGGCTGGCAGATGGCTTGGGGGTAGGGTGGGAGGATCCGGACTTCCTCTACCGAGCAAATATTGATGGGGCCTCACCTCAGGCCAGGCCTAACCTGAGGGTTCCAGGAAGGAGGACGTCCTTCTTAAAATAACTGGAGAGATAGCTCAGGCAGTAAAAGGCTTAGTCCGCAATCATGAGAACCTGAGTTCAGATCCCCAGTGCCTTCGTAAACAGCAGGGTAGGACAGGACACATGTGTGACCCTGGCATTCAGGGCTGGACATACAGATTCCCCAGGCTCAATGGCCAGACTGTTTAGTCAGAATAGTGACCAACTACTCAGTGAGACTGTGAGTCAAGACATGAGACACCCAAGGTTGATCTCTGGCCTCCACATTCATATGCACACAAGTACACACAAACAAACACACACACACACACACACACACACACA